GAATTCCAGCTAAGACCTTTTGACCTTAAAAACGATGACCTTAAAAAAGATTATGTTTTTAAGATATTCACCTTCTGTGCTGGATGAATTGTGAGTTCTAAACAGAGAAAGGCACAGAGGTTTATTTTAAAAGTTGCTCAAATAAATCTTCACATTTCACCAGTTTGCAATAAGAAAGACAACATTTACCCACTGTACTGGGGCTATTCAATCAGCAACAGTGTCAGAAATCTGTGCTAAAACATTCCTTAAAAAAGAAAATGTGTTTTAGTCATCCAGTACATTTGACGAGACTCGTGTTAACGAATTTGAGCAACTGCTGTCTTTGCTACCTTCAGTTACTCTCAACAACACTCTTCTTCATGAAACACCCCACTTAAATCAAAGTGGAATCAGGTCATAAGGATATAAGCAAAAAAAAAAAGTAAAATGTAAGCAGAAGAATGAGACTTCTTGAAAACAGCTATTTATTAGTTCTGTCATATCATAAACACATACAGCTCTATAAAAAATCTAAACTATGCGGTTTGAAACAAAAAGCAAAGAGGAAATTTAGATCAAATCTTTCCCCACTGTGACTTATTCAATACCTCCAAGGCAGATTCCTTCTGGTGGAGGGTGGTCATAAAATTTTTCCAGTCGTCTTTAGCGGTAGTCAATTTGTCCCGGATAACTTTAGCCTTTTCCTTTGGTAAAACAGAGCACAGCAGTTCTCCTTTGGATGCTACCAGGTTTAGTTTTTGTTGCCCATTCTCACTTTCCGATAAGAATTCCTAAAAACAGCAATAAAAGAAGCTAATTGGTGAACTTTGGTTTCCCGTAAAGGTCAATGGCAAGTTCCCAAAAAATTTAACGGAGATAAGAGTTTTTTGCTTCTGCTCATTAACATGCTAACTCATCTTTCGGTACATTCCATTTTAATATCGTTCATATTTATGGGGTTTAGGGACAACAGCTACTTACTCAGAAGTGCCATGCATCTAAACAATGAATACATTAAGACTAGGATTATTTGTATCTTCTGGACTTCATGAGAGAATCACTGGTCATTTGGGTATCATGCTTCTTTAGATCTCCATGGTACAGAAAGTGGCAAGAGTTTCATTTCAGGGAACCAGTACCCCGGCACAGGTAACAGCAGGAGCTGGGGCCCCCTCTGAGGCACACACAGGATTGAAGTCTTGCCCGTGGGCAACAGCCACACTGGACTTCCAACAGGAATGCAGGGGTGTGGGCTAATGCTTAGACCCTGAGCAATGTCTAACCTGCTTGATTTATCACTCTGCATCTTTTAATTTATGTCCCCTGTTCGAAAGTATTTTTATTCATGGAAATCTTGCACAATGCTGGTGTGCAAGAAGTGTATGGAAAAATGCATGTCCAAGAATTATATAGAAATATAAGGAAACAGCCAGATTTTTAAATTCCAGTGTACTGGGAAAATGTTCTTACAACTTGTAATTATTAAAAGACTTAGTAAGCATTCAGGACTCAGAGTAATTTAGCAGTCTTAAATACCAATATTTTAAACTGTTACTATCATGATTATGTGATACACCAATAGTTTTATATCCATAATCATAAAGTTACATCCACATTCAGAAATAACGGGCTTGATACAAGAAATACTAAGTCAGGTTCTGATTCTGTGTTACACTAGAGGTCTTAGTAGAGAATGCAAAGTGTTTGCTAGCTTTGAGATACTTGGTTCAAGTTCTGGCTATATTAAAATCAGAGATATAATTGCCTTGTGACTTAATGATGTCAAACGTTCTAACAGACAGAATATTAATTTAACAAAAATAAATGTTTAAGTTTATACAGGTTACCAAATCATCTCTAGAAGTCCTAAAGCATTTACTGCATGTCAAAAAAAAGCTTATTTCAGCTAAAGCAGCTTTCAGGGAGGAGGAGAACAAAGTAAGGTCTTATGCTATGAAGGGGCTGCAGTGATAAAGAAAAAAAATGTTACCACCCTTAAAAAAAAAAAAACAGCCTTGCTAAAATTCTTACATTTAATGTCAAAAACTACTGGGATTTTTTTTCTCCTGATATTTCCTCTAAATATACTCTCATTTTGGCGAAGTCAAAGATTTAATACATTAATACAGTATCATTTACACTTTTAAGTAAACCATTTAAGCAAGGGAAAGTGACTTTACCAAAAGGAGAAGGAAGTGATTTGGGTTTTGGTATTTTCTGAGAAACTGATATTAATTGCTTCTGTTACACTAGCTAATTGAAGGTTTAACAATCTCATGTATTTCTCATTTTGCTATTTTCAGTTAAAATTATAGTTTATGTTCTATTCATAAAAGCATTTATTTCACTTGCTTTATTAAAATAGATTTTTAATTGTCATTCCTTTCCACAGAGTTGTTTGGGCTTGTTTATCTTTCTGTGAAAAATATATATTTTTTAAATGCCTGCTCACACTGCATACATTTTAACTCTGTTCTTGCACTATAAGGGCTCTACTTTCATACATGAGGAAAAACTTCAAAATAGGTCCATATACTAAGTCCTGATTCTGATATTGTTCTGATTTTACAGTACTTTCCTACTTTAAAAACATGGGGTTTTATACTGTATCAAAGAAACAAACAAGGAAAACTACTATGAGGGACAATGACTACATACAAACTGTAGCCCAACAATCAAGCCAAACAAACTAGACTGAAAAATAAAAAAAAGTGTTTATTGTCTTGCAATTTTTCACCTTTAGTGTTGACAATAACAACATTAACAAAAAATAGTAATTAACCAAACAATTCCGTCTGAGCTTTATATGAAGCTGATTGGTTTCAGACTAATAGTTTTACTGCTATGGAGTTACCTGTATTTTCTGTAGACTTGCTGAAGCTTCACTGATATTTTGAGGCACATCAAAGCATTTGGCTGTGGTGACTTTTGCATTGACCACCCACTGCTGGAAGTCCCTGAAAGCCGTCCGAAATCTTTGCTGCAAGATCTGCTCTTTGCTCTGACATCCTTTTGAAGCTTGCAGGCAGAGGCTGGGTTTATCACATCAGGGAAGCAGAAGAGAGAGAAGGAGGGAGGGAGGAAAGGCAGGACTCTGTTAGGTGACAATGCTATTACTTAGTTCTCTGAAATACAACAGTAAGGTTAGGTTAACCTGGATTCCTCCTACCGAATTTAAGCACTTAACTGAGGCACCAGGAAATCCATTAGAAGCTTTCAGTTCCTTAAAAGTGAAGCATGTAAATTGGGTCATAACTGTCACAGATATGACAGGTATAAGATTTCCAGAGAGTGACTCAGTGCATCTAAGCATGAACAGTTTCTGCAAACACCTTTCTCTCTCTAGGGACAGGACACGGAACTACAGCAACTATAATTTTAACTTCTGTGGCTCAGTTAAGTTTGTAATGTTAGAAGGGATCAATCTGGGTCATCCCATCTCTCTTTGGCAGCTACAGAAGCCAAAAGCCCCCTGAAGAAACAACAGTCTTGTGTCTGAAATGCAATTGTCCCACTCCCAAGTAAATCAGCTAGAGTGACCTGAGAGAAAGCAAGAAAACAAGCAAATGCTAGCTCCCCTTTTTCAAGGAACCAGCTAGTCAAAGAAGAGTAAACTGGAGGACAAAATGAAGAAAAAATTCTTAAATAGCTGGTATAGCTTGTTCCTCCTTCAGACAAAGAAGCCATAGCGCCACCTCACAGTTTCTTACAAGGATTCCTCCTGTAATAAGTCAGTTGTGGGTATACATTAGTTTCAGCCAAGTTTAGTGGCATAGTCTGGCTTTTAGGAAAAAGAAAAACCAACCAATTTGCTACTTCTTACAACCTCTATTGACACAAAAAACAAAATAATTACTCTAATCATTGTATAACTCTGTTTCTAATTCTAAAATTCTAATTAATCATTCCCCAAAAGACAGCTCACGCACGCACATGGGATTGATTAACTATAAACAAGACGAATGTGTACCTGTTATACTCCTTAATCAACCCTGAAACTTTTGAAGAATGAGTACTCAAATCTCTGGAAAATCTACAAAGATCATTTAACTGAGTTTTGATCTCATCTGTCATATGTTCAGACTTTACCAGAGCATCCAACGTTTCCTGTTAAAACAAAAAAAATTAACAATATCAGTGAGTAAATTAAAAAATATATACACATTTTGAATCAAAATTTATCAGAATTTAAATTAAACTTCATTTATGATCAATAGACGTTCACTTTCAAGAGTATTTTATCAGTCAAACCTACAGAAGCTTATTTGAAATTATGAGCTTCTAGAGACCAAATTTCTGGAAGCCTCAACTTTCTAAGCTCAAAATATTCTCAAAGAACAGTTTAAGACATAAATTTCATTTTAATAAATGAGCCGTGTCTTGTCAGTTAGCTGTATACACATGAAAGTGCAAACAATTAGGGAATAGCAAGTGATATATATTTATATAATTAGCTTGTTGGCTTGAGTTTAGCATGTTCGATAAAAACTGTTTTGAGCTGTATCCAAAAAGTTAATTTACGCACAAAGCTTTTAACAGCTTCAACCCTTTCACAGAGGGCTTCATAATGTAGAAGTACAGCTGCTCACAGTCCTGTGAGAGTAAATGGGTTACTGCTTGTCATTGCTGCACTGGAAAGACTCTTGCTTTGGAGACAGCTAAGCCAACAAAAAAAATGCTTTTGTTGGCTTAGCTTATGTCACTGGGCGAGGTGCAATAACTGCTCCAACAAAAACAGTCCTTGTTGATGTCCACAGCATCTCCACTGGAGAACCCCGACAGCTACTCCAGCACAATGAACAGTGCAGACTTGGCTCCTCGTCTCGTTAGAAACTAAATTCTTCAGGCATTCCTCTTAAACTACCAGGGAGAAAAGACGATCTTCCAGCTAGTTACATTGACCACGGCAGAGGTTCTGCAGCACAGGCAGGCCACAGTGTTCGTCACGTATAGGTTAGTTTGGCTAAGTCTAAGTGTCAATCTGGAAGAAGTGTACAATATAAACTTAATAAACAGATCATATGAAAGTGAAGACAGATTTGAACAGGGACACTGAAGTAGGACAAGGAAGTCCCCAAATCATATTTCTGAATATATATAAAAAAAGATGATTGAAAATATACATAGTAAATAGCTTGTAATAATCTCTCAGCACAAAATGGAATATTCAGGAAAGGTACAAATGATGTCCATGAAAATATATGCAGAAGGTTTTCAAAATACCAATCTACATTACAGAGATAAAAACACTCACTGAGTAGATTTTTCACTGTAAAGTACTAACTAACTCTGCAATAAACAGATATCCTTTTATGTAAATCAAAAGTAGCAAATATTAGCAAGGGTCTAGCATGTCAATCAACAGGCCTAGTAAGTACAGCAAATGGACAAAAGCCAGGGATTCAGCTCACGCGTCTGCTGCCCACAAGCAACTTTGTGCTTGCTTCATATACCTTTTCCTGAAAAAGTCTACAGAAGTGTGGAATTAATCTTTTTTAAGATCTATATCGTGCATTTCTGAGCAAGTGAAAAAAAAACCCAACAAAAACCCAAAAAAACCCAAGAAGGATACTAAGATACTGCTTCTTTGCTTCTTTGTAGTACCTGAACTGCCAGCAGGAAAAAACACAACATTTTGAGAAAAATAAAACTACAAGCATGCATTGGCTATGAACAACAGTGGTTTAGACCATAATCACAGCTTGATTATCTGAACATTACCGAAATCTGTTTGCATTTCTAGATCACAGGGAAGCCCTGTAAAATTAAGTCTAGAGACATTTCAGATGGATTATGTGTACAAACTTGCATGTGTTCTTGTGAGTATGAAAAAATATTTTGCTACAGCAGATTTTCAGGACTCCTCTGATTTACATATTCTCATGCTCGTGTTATGGACTTTATCCGCTTTGAGTCACTGATACACCAGAAATCTCTTCAACCATAATTAAAAGATACTTGAAATAGTCACACTGCCAGTTTGTTTCGATGCCATATAAAGCAGCATTTGACTTAAGTAACTATGTAATAGCAAAGATGCCTAGGAAGAAAACGTAAACTAACTACTTTTTGTTTATCTTACTTTATGTTAGACTACACACAGGACTTTTTTTGAAAGCATTAGGAATAACAACATAATGGCCATTACTTAAACACAGGATGTCACAAATTGTGTAGGGCAGGAATCACCATAATGAAATACTAACAGCTTTTTTTTTTTTTTTGGTGATGAAAACTGGTCCTAAGAGTCACACAGGGTTAGAATTGCCTGTTTTCAATGAAATTTTTCAGTTTCAAATAACCTACCCCGATAACTACTAAAAGATTATTCTGATGACATACAGCCTTAAGCATAACCTATTAACAAACTGGAACATTAACTTGCAAAACAGGGTACATTTAACTATGGCATTTTTGCCTACAGAAACACTGACGGCACTGTTGCTGCCACTTGGATTTAATTTTGAATCTGACAATTACCAAAATAATTTGCTGAATTCCAAGTGCAAGATCTGTTGCTCTTACGTTGCACATACCTAAAGGAACAGAGCTTGAGCATAAAAGAACAGAATGAGCTCGCTGATTTTGAGAATTAGGAAATGCATTTCTAATTCATGGCCTTGGCTTACATGGCAACAGAATCACTGTGAGACAATGGAAATGGAAAGCTGCAGTGCTATTTTACGTTCACAATAGGACCTATCCCTGGGGTCCAGAAATGGAAGGATTTTTGTCACATTTCCCCTAACTATAGATAAAAATAAAAGTAGGGCTGTGCATAGCAAGTCTTGAGATTCCTCTGCATTTTCCTCATTAGCCAAAGTTTACAACTGTCTAATCTGAACAATGTGTTGCTACATAGAGCTGCAGTACATACACAGTATATATACTACTAATAAAAGCAATATCCTTTGAATTTAGTACTTCTCCATTTATAAAATAAAAAATGTCTGTTAATTGCTGCTGTATATTGATGACGATTCCATGTCTCCCTTTCCTTTTTGAAAACATATAAACATGGAAGACTTTGCATATTTATACCATCATTTGCTCCAGTGTAATGTTAGCTTCGTTACTCCTACAGATATGTACTGGCACTCAAGCAAGTAGGTTCGATAAATCTGTGTCAGGGAATTCTGTAAAAGGGGAAGCCACAGAAATAACTTGGCACAGACACTGGAGGAGGAGATTTATAATCTCAGTTCAAAGGGAAGGTGTTCTGGGTTTTTTTTTAATATTTCTTCAGTCAAAGTGTCAAAAAGCAGGCACCGCACACCTCTTTTCCTTTACTGAAACTGCTTTACTGCAACGCTACCCTGAAAGGGAAATACTCTGTTATCTTTTGTCAACATCTGCGATTCCCAGTAGTCGCAGTACATATAAACATATATCATGATTGTTGTGAATAGATATATTCATATATATAGCGTGTGTGTGAAACATACATGTGGAATTTTTTGCTAGAAGACACTCAGGAACAGAAACAACCTATTTCTCTAAATTCCACTGCTTCCCATAGCAACGCAATTAGCAAGCATAGCGGTTTCCAGTACAACTTCTTCAAATACCGCACAAGACCTCAACGTGCATAACGGGAAGGGTGTTTCAAGAAATGCAAAGCGTGAGCTCGACACACTCCTGACAAATTACAAGTAAGGAATGGCTCCAGCTGCCACTTGGCTGCCAGGAAATGCTTCCCGTTTTCCTGACCGAGCGCTACTCCAGCTTGAAACGTGGAAGAGAAGCGGAGAGCTGGTGTGCCAGCTCCTTCGCTTCCTCAGCGGTCGTTTCCTCCTCGATAGCCTCGCTTGGCAGAAGTTCTCTGCCCACGGTAACCGCACGTTTACAACCGCGAAGCCGCTAGGAAAAGAGGTGGGACCTTACTTTCTCCTTGCGCCAGCTCTCCGCGACCTCGGCGTCGGTGTGGCGGCTGTCGAGGGGGGCCAGGCCCTGGG